TGCTGCAGAAGCTGCTGCTGACGCTGAGCCTGGTACCACGCCGCTGCTCCACCAACCGGGGCAGGAAGTACAGGAGGCGACTGACGAACTCGGGCGTCGCCACCACCAGCAGGCGCAGTGGAGTCACCAGTCACTGCACGAGGCGCCTCTCCAGGCCCTGAACCTCCACCGCCGCCAGGCGCAACGCCACCTCCACTACCTCCGCCTCCACCTCCACTACCACCACCAGAACCGCCTTTCTTGCCACTCCTACCGCGGGACCGCGACGCAGTCGTAACAGCAGCTGCAGTCGCGTCAGTAGCGGCAGTGGCAAGTGAGGCAGTAAAGGTGGGTAACTGCGGGACTGTGCACCCGTGGAAGAGTGGGGGGGGCACAGCACCAGAGGCAGCGGCTACCGAGCGAAGGTTGCTCTCGACGTCCTTGAGTGCAGACTCAAGGACCTCGACGGTGAGCTCACTAGGGTGCTTCAGCAGAAGCGCGTCGCGAACGGAGGCAAGGCGGTCAGGGAGGCTAGTGGCGATGAAATAGATAGTAATCGCCATAGGGGGAGGAAGCAGTGCAAGCTGTGCCTCAGTGCAAGCAGCGCGGTAACTAGCGTCGAGCGAGCGGAGGTGAGCGATCAAGTCAGCAGAGCGCTCAAAAGACGCTAGGTCAGGAAACAGGAACGGGAGGAACAGGCGGCCAAGAGAGACAGCAGCGGGAGTAGAGTAGCGGGCCTTAATCGCAGTGAGGTACGCAGCAGCGGTGCGAACCTGAGTGAAGTGAACCTCCTCAGACTCAGGGAGGAGGCTGCTGAGCGCGATGCAGGCCGCAGCGTCACGTGACGTCCAAGCCGTCTGGTCAGCTCGCTGAGTGGCAAAGCGGGCTCTAGCGGCGTCGTCAGGGGCAGGTCCTAAAGGCGTAGGGTCGGGGGGCGCAGGTAGGGCACCAGTAGCGTGCGCCCAGAGGGTCTCGCCTGCCTGGACCTGACTCTCTAACAGGCGGCGAGCGCGAAGAAGCCAGACTGGGAAATCGAGCGGGCGACCGTCAGCATCGAAACGAAGGACGCGAGGGGTCGCCATAGTGTGCAAACGGAATTGGCAGGGAAAGCAGGGCGCAGCGGCAAGGGAGAACGGGCAGGAAGAGCGGGCAAGAGCGGGCGGGTAGGTCAGGTGTGGCGGGCGCGCGGGTAGGGCAAAGGCGCCGGGCGTGGGCGACGGGCTAGGGCGCGAGCCAGGGCGACGGGCTAGGGCGCGAGCTGGGGAGACGGGCTGGGGCGCGGGCCAGGGCGACGGATCGACGGGCAGCAGGGGGAAACGCGGGTCGACAGGCAGCGGGGGGAAGCGCGGGTCGACGGGCAGCGGGGGGAAGCGCGGGTCGACGGGCAGCGGGGGGAAGCGCGGGTCGACGGGCAGCGGGGGGAAGCGCGGGTCGACGGGCAGCGGGGGGAAGCGCGGGTCGACGGGCAGCGGGGGGAAGCGCGGGTCGACGGGCAGCGGGGGGAAGCGCGGGTCGACGGGCAGCGGGGGGAAGCGCGGGTCGACGGGCAGCGGGGGGAAGCGCGGGTCGACGGGCAGCGGGGGGAAGCGCGGGTCGACGGGCAGCGGGGGGAAGCGCGGGTCGACGGGCAGCGGGGGGAAGCGCGGGTCGACGGGCAGCGGGGGGAAGCGCGGGTCGACGGGCAGCGGGGGGAAGCGCGCCTCGACGGGCATCAGGGGGGGAAAGCGCAGCGCGACCGGCAGCGGTACGCTAGATCGGGCTACGCTAGATCGGGAGGAAGAACGAGCGGTAACGAACGAACGGGACTAGATCGGGCCGGCACTAGGCTCGGGCAAGACGGGCGAAACGAGAGCTAGGATCAGGCTCGGGTGGTACGATCGGAGAACGGAGAAACGGGATCCCACAGGATCCTAACCTATCTGATACCATGTCAGAATGAGGAATGAATGGTGCATTGATGTTGGTTGGGGTACATATAGCTAACCCTAAGTTTTGTACCCCCTAAGACAAACCTCACTATAGGCTACAACATTTGACACCCACCGCCTACTTCTGAGCAGGAGGCCGACTACCAGCGCCAGCTCCTCGCTCGTGACGTGTGGGAGTCTCGTGACGCCGCTGCCTGCCTCGCCCTTGTCATGATATATATATAAATATATATATCTATAACTGCCTGTAGCTACAGCTTTAGTGTAGTTATTATAAACCATGTTTGGTGGTGCACCTTTCCTTGCTTGTTTGGTTTCTATTTGTACCCTTCACTCAATAGTGAAACTCTCTTTGGCTTGCTAAACTCTCTCGACACTCAACCTCCTACCCAAACCCTAGCCGCCATGGTTCTAAACTTAGCCTACTGGTTCTGACATGGTATCAGAGCCTGGTTCGCCTAGGCCTAACTTATTTTCACTCATGCCGCCCCGCGTCGCGCCCGCGCTGCCCGTCACGCTGCTGCCCGTGACGGCGAACCGCGCGATGGCGCTAGCTGCGGCCTCAGTACGGCTTCGTCACGCCCCGCTTATCGCGCTAATCACGGCCCCGTTCGTTGCGCCACTGCTGCTGATCCGTAGCGCCCACCAGCCCGCCTTTGACCTCGCCCGCACGCTCGCCAGTGGCCCGCCCGTGCGTCAGCGCGTCGCTCCAGCGACCGCCATTACGCCAGCGCGCTGCATCAGTGCGAGCGCGAGCGCCAGTGCGTGCGCCATTGCGCACCCCGTCAGCGCACGCCAGCGCGACCAGCAGCAGCGCCCACCCCACGCCAGAGTGCGAGAAGCAGCAGCAGCGTGTGTCGCCTCCCTCCCTTCTGCGGCTTCCGCCGTGGGAGGGGGAGGGGAGATGAGGACATGGCGGGAGTGTGCCCGAAGGAACCAGCCGCCGCCCTCCTCTCTCCTCTCCCTCCCTCCAGCGCCTATCGCTGTGGGGGGAGGGGGGGAAGGTGAGGGGGTGGCGAGAGAGATGCTGCAAAGCCAGCAGCCGCCCCTCCTCTCTCTCTCACTGCCGGCCGTGCTGCTGTGGGGGGGAGGTTAAGAGAGGGTGGCGGAAGTCAGTCAAGCATCTGCAGCTGCCACCCGGTGCTACCGTGGTACATCCTGCTGCCGCCCCTGCCGCCACCTGCCTTTGTTTCTGCTTGCCTGCTGCTGGGGCCTGCAGGTGCTGCCGTCGAGCCGCTGCTGTCCTGCTGCACGTTGCAGCCACAGAGCCTGCTCCTCAGGCGACCTGCCGCCCCTACACCTGCTACTGCTTCTGCCTTGGCTGAGGGCGTGCTACAGCTGTATTTGCCACTCCTGCACCGGCTACTACTGCTCTTCCCTGCTTCTGCTTCTTCCGCTGCATGCTGTACCCCTTCAGGGGGTGTAACTTGCTTCTGCTATGTGCTGCAGGCAGTTAGGGGGTGTGTCGTGATATATATAAATATATATATCTATAACTGCCTGTAGCTACAGCTTTAGTGTAGTTATTATAAACCCTGTTTGGTGGTGCACCTTTCCTTGCTTGTTTGGTTTCTATTTGTACCCTTCACTCAATAGTGAAACTCTCTTTGGCTTGCTAAACTCTCTCGACACTCAACCTCCTACCCAAACCCTAGCCGCCATGGTTCTAAACTTAGCCTACTGGTTCTGACAGCCCTCACCGACCTTCTCCCGCCGACAGAGGCAGTCCACTTCGCTCAGGTCGAGTCTGCTGCAGATCTGTATAAGGCTATTGTTGCTCGCTACTCCACTCCAACCTCTGCTTCACTCAGTCGCCTCCTCGTACCCTTTATTTACCCTGACCTCGCCTCCTTTGAGACTGTCTCTGACCTCGCTACCCACCTGCGCTCCCTTGACGCTCGCTTTCGCGCTGCTTGCACTGAGGACCAGCTTGCCCTTGCCCCGCCCCCTATGTGGCTCACTATTCACTGGCTAGTCACTCGCCTCCCTGACCGCCTAGCCACAGCCCGCGACGCGCTTCTTCTGACGCACCCCACTGAGCTTACCATCGATCTTCTTGAGACCGCTCTCTCGAAGATCGAGAGTAACCTCCTCACTGTTGCCTCTGCCTCTTCCGCGCCTCCTCCTCGTCTTTTTGAGGGGTGTGCGGTACCACAGCTTCCCACCTTCACTGCCTCCCTTGCCACCCCCACGTCTTCTGCCTCTGAGGAGACGGCGGCTGTTTCTGTCTCTGGCGGACAGAAACGTGGCAAGGCCGGCAAGAAGGGCGGGAAGGGCGGCGGGGGTACTGGAGGTGGTGCGGGTAGTGGCGGCGGTAGTGGGGCAGGTGGTGGTAGTGGTGGTGGGGGTGGCTCGGGCCCTGACGGCCCTCCTCTCGACGGTGGAGTTTTCACTGGTGGTGAGGGGTTCCAGCAGCAGCAGCAGCCGACTTCTCAGCAGCTGCCACCGCCTGGACAGCAGCAGCGGCAGGGACAGCAGCAGCAGCGACAGGGCCAGCAGCAGCGCCCACCGCAGCAGCAGCCTCAGCAGTGGGGCCCTCCGCAGCAGTGGGGCCCTCAGCAGCAGTGGAGGTCTGCGGGTCCCCCGAGCACTGGGCGCAGTGGCCCCCCCTCCAGTCGGGGACCTCGCTCGACCGGACGCGACGTTGGTCCCTGTGAGTACTGGATCCTTACGGGTCCTCGTAGGGACTCGTACTGTGACCACCGCCGGTTCTGTCTGCAGTTGGGCCTCGTTGAGACTGGGTCGAGTAGACTGCAGTAGTGAGTGCTTGTCTCTTGTCTTTGCTTGTACTGCATATATTTGCATATACACTCTTGAACTGGCCTTGTGGCCGCTGTTTGCGCTCAGACTGTGTGGTGACGTTGTGATCCACCCTGAGCTTTGTCTCTTGTTTATGACTGGTATTGTGACCTTAGGTTGTTTGTTGTTACTTTGCACTCCCCACTTAGGCTATGGGGGTGTGTCAAATGTTCTAGCCATTAGTGGGTTGTGCAGTAGGGGGTACAAACAGTTAGGGTTTGAATATGTACCCCAATCTGTCTAATGCAACTCATTCCGCTGTAGCCACATTCGGAGAGTTGAATGGGAAAGGAGCTACTTGTTGAGCCAATAGACGAGGAGGAAGAGCGTGCAGGCAGCGATGACAGCAGCGAGAATGAGTGAGTCACGTGACTTCTTCCTCCTGATGGCTGATAGCAGCGTGTTCAGCTGCAGGGGAGGGAAGTGGGTGGCGGGAGAGGGTGGGGTGGAGAGGCAGGCAGGGCAGCGTGCGAATGAGCGAGTCCCGTGAATTCTTCCTTCGGATGGCGGACAGTAGCGTGTTCAGCTGCACACGAGGAGGGGAGAGGGGAGGGAGGGGGGTGGAGGTGGAGAGGAAGACAAGTGAGCAGGACCCCATATATCAGAGTCTTTACACTGATGTATCAGCCTTCTTGTTCTGAGATGCCAGTGGTTATGTAGTGTGGAATTGCCATTTGAAGCCATTCTGCTGATTTCAGCGTGAAACTGTTAAGAAAGACAGACTTCCCAGCCTCCCCCAAAACCAATTTGAGGCCCTGGTGATGCAGTTGTTGTTGACAGCATGGTGTGCGGAGGCAGCATGGAGATGGGGGGCACACTATGAGATAAAGGGGAGGAAGCAATGCATTGCATTGCATGGAGATGATGGGAGCCATGATGGCAGCAGGACGGGCAGGACACCAGCAGGACGGGCAGGACACCAGCAGGATAGGCGTCAACATACGAACATACCCCTGGAATTCGGTTGCCCAAGAGTGTGACTTTAGAAAATGTGCCTCCCAGGAGCGAGCGCTGCTGTGCCAGAGATGATGACGTGGCATATGCTTGCTTGATGACGTCATCAGCCTGGTGGAACAGGGAGGCGGGACCAAACAGCAAGCAGACTAAGGAATTGGGCATATGCCAAGCTAGCATGCGTGGAGTCGGCACGCTCTGAGTCAACATGAGCTGAGTTGGCATGGGCTCAGTTGCCATGTGCTGAGTCAGCAGGCACTTAATTGGCATGCGCTGGAATTGCACAAGATATTTAACGCATGTAACAGCATGTGGGAGTCGTGCAGGGAATGAGAGGCACACCTGGGGAGGGCACACCTGGGGGAGGGCGCACCTGGGGGAGGGCGCACCTGGGGGAGGAGACCTGGGGAGGGCACACCTGGGGGAGGGCACACCTGGAGAGGGCACACCTGGGGAGGGCACACGTGGGGGAGGGCGCACGTGGGGGAGGGCGCACCTGGGGGAGGGCGCACCTGGGGGAGGGCACACCTGGGGGAGGGCACACCTGGGGGAGGGCACACCTGGGGGAGGGCACACCTGGGGGAGGGCACACCTGGGGGAGGGCACACCTGGGGGAGGGAGTGGACGATGGCCATACCTGAGAGAGAGCGGAGTGGATGGAGTTGCGTTCATTGAGCAGTCTGGCCGTTTCAGACAGCACCTCCGCGCCCGCACTGCTGCCCGTGCCACCCCCCTCCCTGCCACCCGCCTTGCCGAACACACCCAGCAGCTGCGCTCGCTCCAGGTTGGTGGTCACTGCTGCCCGCGTGCGAGCGAACTCCTGCCGGCACAGAGGAAACGAGGTGTGAAGGAGGGACGGGGGACAGAAGCCAGCTCGGATCCGTGCAAACGAACACCACATGCACACCATAACACACTCAAACACTCACACACACAGACACACACACACACACACACACACACACACACAGACACACACACACACACACACACACATACAAACACAAATATGCACACACACACACACACACACACACGCGCGCGCGCGCGCGCGCGCACACACACACACACACACACGCACACACACACACACACGCACACACACACACGCACACACGCACACACACACGCGCACGCGCACGCACGCACACACACACACACACACACACAAACACACACACACACACACACACACGCACGCACACACACACACACACACACGCACACACACACACACACGCACACACGCACACACACACACACACACACACACACACACACACACACACGCACACACACGCCCCCACCCATACGCACTCTAACCCACCCTTGAGACTTCCCACAACATTTCTCTTGGGGAGTACACATAAGAATCTGCAGCTCCAAGTGCCAGTCCACACACCCATCCATCAACACACTCTGGAACGTGCTCGGGGGAGGTGAGTTTATAGTCGACTCAAAAGTCACCTCCTGGGGAGTGAGAAAGTGAGCGTGTGAGCCTGCAGCTCCTCGCACACATCCACCCGCACACACCAGAACATGCCCAAACACGAACACACACACTCACAAAGTCCCACCCTCTCGCACCGAACCACACTTCAAAACTCGTGCAGGATGCTGATGTGGCAAGTGAGCATGTGCGCTTGTAGCTCCCAGCTGGCCAAACTCCAGATGCAACTCCACGCGCACACTCCCCCTCACAGTCACACAGACACATGCACACTCACTCACTCACAGTCCCACAGACACATGCACACTCACTCACAATCACACAGACACGTTCACTCACTCACAATCACACAGACACGCACACTCACTCAGTCCCACACACACACACACTCACTCAGTCACAAACACACACACACACACACACAACCACTCACAGTCACACAGACACACACACAGACACACACACACACACACACACACACACACACACACATACACACACACACACACTCGCTCACAGTCACATACGCACACATACTTTCACTCACACTCACAGACACAAGACCACACGCTTTAGTCGACCCTTGAGAACTCCAGAAGGATGTTGTTGTGGCGGGTAAGCTTGTGGGCCTGCAGAACACACGCATGCACACCCATTCCCACCCACCCTTGAGAACTCCAGCAGGATGTTGTTGTGGCGGGTGAGAGTGTGCGCCTGCAGCTCTGAGCTGCCCCCTCCTGCCCCTCCCGCAGCAGCACACGCGCCCATGGCATCGTTCAGTGACGCCAGCTGCTGCAGCAGCGCCTCTATCTCGCCCTCACGAATCTGATGACACGGGAAAGGGTTTTCAGAGGGGTGGGGAGTGGTGGAGTGGGGTGGGTGGATCCCAATGCACCCATGGCGTCGTTCAGTGATGCCAGCTGCTGCAGCAGCTGAGTGCGGGAGAGGATATGCAGTACTGCGTGTAATGAGTCAAGCAGCGACCCAGCAGTTCTGGAGGAGGAGACGTGGACGAAAGGGAAGGGAGTGATGGAACCTCAACGGAATGCATTCGTTCCCAAGGGATTGGGCAGGCCAGGGAAGCTGCAAAGGCTGCGGAGGAGTAGGCTAGGGGGGCGAGGGGAGTAGAGGAGCCGGAACCTTAATTGGACCCATTTAGGTCCATTTGGGCCTCTGCGGCGCTGGGCAGTGAAGCAGCGGTGGTGGAGGAAGCGACAAAGTGAGGGGGGAAGCAGCGAACCCACCTGCGCCTCGGAGGGGTCGGGCAGCGAGCCGGTGGCAGTGGAGGAGGAGGCAATGCGAGGTAGGGTGGGGGAGGGGGGCGATAAAGTAGCAGCAGCGGGCCCACCTGTGCTTCGGAGGGGTCAGGCAGCGAGCCGGCGGCGGTGGAGGAGGAGGCGAGCGCAAAGGCGGCGCCGAGCTTGGAGTAGGCTGCCAGGCGGTGGTCCACCTCGCTCTCCACTCGGCGCGCCTGCAGTGGGGCGGAAGGAGGACGGGGAAGGGAGGGGAGGCGGGGTGTGGGGGGGTGTGGGGGGTGGATGTGTTTGGGGGAGGTGGAAGGACGGAGGTGGTCAAGCTTGGAGTAGGCTGCCAGGCGATGGTCCACCTCGCTCACCACTCGCCGCGCCTGTGAGGGGAGAGAGGGAGAGGGGGTGTGATGGGGGACGGGGGGAGGGGGGTAATGGAGGGAGTGAGGGGACAGTCGAAGGCAGCATCAAGCTTGGAGTATGCTGCTAGGAGGGCGATGGTCCACCTCGCTCTCCACCCGCCGTGCCTGCACGGGGGAAAGGGGGGAGAGGGGGGAAGGGAGAGGCAGGACGGGAGTGGGAAGCACACAATCAGAGCCCGCCAGGCGGTGGTCCACCTTGCCCTCCACTCTGCGCGGCTGCAGAGGGCAAGGGGTGGGGGGAAGGGGGGGGAGGTAATAGGGGCGAGGAGGAGCGATGGGGGAAAGGGCACGGAGCAAGAGGGGGAAGGCGAGAGCCAAACGCTGCCAGGCCCAGTGACCCACCTCGCTCCCCGCCCTGGGAGGGGAAGGACGGAAGAGACATGGTGGGGAGGGGAGAACGCATACAGTCAGCGCTGATTGACACGGGCAGACTATGGCCCACCTCGCTCTCCCTTCACCTGCCGCGCCTGCAGTGCGTGCGGGGGAGGTGGGTGAAGGAAGGCGGAAGTGGGCGTGGGAACATCAGTTACCGCAATCTGCGCCCTTCCGTCCTCCTTCAGGAGGAAGGAGGAAGTGAGGCGAGAGTGAAGACTGCCGGGCGGAGATCCACGTTTCTCTGTGTTCCCCGTGGCTGCAGTGTGAGGAGGGGTGACGGAGAGGCGAAGGAGGGGCGAAGGGGAGCACGAAAGTGTGACGCTGTGGACCAAAGGAACGACTTTTGCGGCTCCTGAGACGGGGGTCATGGAGGAGTCATAAGACGAGCACCAGGAGGGACGGTGGGGGGAGGGGAGGGCGGGTGGAATGGGAAAGTGAGGTGGGGAGGGGACGGGGGGAGGAAGAGAGAGTTGGGAAGGTTACAGTCAGACGCAGCCAGGGATGGGAGCAGGGAAGAACGGATGTGGCAGAAATAGGGGAAGGGAAGGGGGGGACAGGGGGAGACGGGGGAGCAGGAAAGAGAGGGAGGGGGGGAAGGAAAAGGGGAGCAAGCGGTGAAGGGGGCGACAGAAGGGAGGGAGGAGGGTAGAGCTGCGAGGCAATGGGGAAAGCCGGTGGGATAGCGAGGAGGGCACGTTCCCGCTGCGTGTCAGTTCCCACGCGGATCAGCCGACAGGTAAGGGTTCTGCCCCGTCAGCAGTCTTGCTAACGACCGTCATCTGCATCGTGCCAGGTGGCTTGACACGCGTAGGACCACACTGGGGCGCACTCGGAGCGCAGTCGGACCGCATTCGGAGCGCATTCGGACCGCATTCGGAGCGCATTCGGAGCGCATTCGGAGCGCGGCGACGCCAATGAGATCCTTCTCCACACTAACTGCCTCCAGGGCAGCGACATCAACAGGCAAGACAGTGCGACCATGCGATACACTGCGACCGTGCGACTCACATCTTTCCGCAGATCCTCCCACCGCCTTCCTCCCGCCACGAATCCGCTGCTCACGCCTCCCCCTAATCCGCCCAGCGATCCCCCGCTGCCCGACATCCCGTCGACCCCGCCCTTCCCCGTGCCTTTCCGCCCCCCCTGCTCCGCGCGCCGATGCTCCCCCCACCAGCGGAACTCTCCGCGCGTGGCTGCTGCTTCCCCCAATGGAGGATGTTCACCAGGCTGCTTCTCTCAGCGCGCCGCTGCGCTGCTCGCGCGGCTGCTTCTCTCCCAAACGGCGGAAAATCTCCGCGCGCTGGTGCCCTTCTGCCTCCCCTTCCGTCGCAATGCGCTGGCTATGCGCGCGCGTCCAAATTTGAGACACAAATTCACGAGATCTTCTCAAAACGGAGGGAAACGGGGAGATCGAGGGGGGCGGCGATTCGCGACAATGAGGGAAAGGAACCTAACAGGACCGTGTTTGGTAGCGGAACGGTGCGCTTCTGCAGCTGCCCTTGTTACGCTGAGGCACGTCTAGAGGAGCGCAGACATAGTAGGTTCGGTTCGGTGAGATGCGACAATGATGCAGCGAATCATGATCGAGCCGTGTTTCGAACGTGATTGTAACGCGCTTATAGACGAAGCCAACGAACCAGGGCACGAGGTGAGACAGCCGGGTCGGGCGCGAGTGGTAGCGATGGAATCTAGGATGTGAGAAAAGCGACTCTGGTGGCAACTCAGGCTTGACCCCACGATCCAGAGCCCATCATTTAGGGCGCGTGTGTTCTTGCCGAACCTGACTGAAAGTTCGAACTTTCATAACGGTTCGCCACGGTATAATACAATAAAGAACGTTTCGTCACGGTGCAAAACGGTTTGAGTTCGAACTTTGACAGGTTCGGCAAGAACGCACGCGCCCTTAGCACAGTATCAGGTACCTGGCCTTGTATTGTATAGAGTGGCGTGAATGTACACGCTTGTTATTGGCACATTTCTCTAAATTGCACACTTCTTTCGAGTGACAAACCAAGAATTTCAGTTTCTGAAAAGCGTGTCCTCGCAACAAGCTAAAGCGATCAGATCGAATCAGCTTACAGCGCGCCAGCCGCCTCTCCATCTTCCTCTCACCCCTGCAGTGGCCGGCGAGTCCTGCCAGCCCCTTGGAAAGGGAATTCACACGTGCTCAGCTCATCACGGGGTGGATCTTATCTGGATAACCAAAAGGGATTCTCTCCCTACTTTACCTCCCACCCCGAGCCTGTTCGTTGGCTTCGCTTCACTTGACATCACACAAACATCACTGGCAGCGAGTGTCACTGTCTAGTCTGGTGGAGTCCCCTCCGCTCCGCTCCTTTCCAAATCGACGCACATCAGGTCGCTTCTAACACCTGTGCGCAAGCCATTCCACCTCCTTGCGCCGCGCCTCGTCTGAAAAGCCGCGTGGTTGTGAAAGGTGACGAGAGCGGCAGGGCGGTTTATTACCCATCTGCCAACAAACCTCCCTCATTCACGTGCCCCTTCTTCTCGCATGCTGACCCATCACTGTCCTATCTCTACATATAATTTTCACAAATAGTAACAACCCTTTCCCCCGCATCGAGTCTATTTCTCACCGCCGTGCATCGCTCCCGTTAACTCACGGCATCGCCATGTGGTTGCGGCAATTCGTGTCGAGCGACGAGTGGCAGGACGCCGCAGCAGCGGGCATCACGCTCGCCATCTGCCTCGCATGGATTCTCTCCGTCCAAAATCTCGTCAAGTTCCGTCTGCTCTCCGTCTATCTCAGCCGTAAGCTCATCCACATCTTCACTGGTCCCATCTTCATGCTGACGTGGAACCTCTTCTCCAATCAGCCCTACGCGCGCCTCGCCGCTGCCGTCGTTCCGCTCCTAATCACCCTCCACTTCGCGCTCGTCGGTCTCGGCGTAGTTAAGGATCAATCAGCGATTAACTCCGTCACCCGGCGCGGGGACCGCAGGGAAATGCTGCGCGGGCCCGTGATGTACGGGCTGTGTTTCGTCGCCTTCACTGTGCTCTTTTGGCGCCACTCCCCTTCCGCCTTTCTCGCGCTCAACGCGCTCTGCGCGGGAGACGGATTCGCGGAACTCGCGGGGCGGCGGTTCGGAAACGCGCCTTCGCAGAAGCTTCCGTGGTCCGGGATCAAGAGCTGGCCTGGCAGCGCGGCGATGCTTCTCTGCAGCTTCGCGTTTGGGTTCGGATCGCTGCTGCTCTTTGATTCGTTCGGCAACTTCGCCCCGCGCCACGTCCACGTGGCAACAGCAGCGCCTGCCACGTTGGCAATAGCAGCGGGTGCAGCGGTAGTGGAAGCGGTGGCGCCTGGCGATTGGGACAACGTGCTTGTGTGTGTGGTCGTGGCTGTAGCGGGGGAGTTGGCAATGCCTCTGCTGGTGAGGTGACTATAGCGAGGAAGCATTGTCTTTGCTGGTTACTCCATGCTACCCTCTGGTGGGACGATTCTAGCAGCATGGCAGCTCAATGGTTGGTGCAGTGTCAGCCTGAGCTGCCGCAGGTGGCATTTGGGGAAGCAGAGGGAAGATGGTTGATATTTGAGATGTGTGAACCTACACACCAGAGAGATGGTGTAGCAGGAGCGGAGATGATATGCAGATGGGGAGTTGAAGCCGCTGCTTGTTTGACAGGTTTTGTGGCTTGTTTGAGAGAAGCATGACATGTTCACAGACAGAAGGACAGGAGATTGTAGTAACGCATATCAAAACACATTGTAATATATGGTTTGTACGTGTGTTTGTTGTAGGCTAAGTAGAGAGTGAAACATAGAGGGTACAGACATGCATACTTTCTGGAGACCACAGTCGGCCCGAACCGACAGCCTCGCCTCCCGCACTTACGTCGCCTCAGCTTCGGGTTTGACAACCCCGAACCAGCACCAGCCCCGCCTAGCAAGCATTTCACTATATCACGGGTACCGGTCTCGTTATTCAGTTAGTGGTTGTAATTACACCTACGGATATTGCATTCCTCACACTTTCATTTGACAACTCATAATAACATCTACTTCTGTTCATTCATAACACAACCCCACTGTATGTATTGCAGCATCTACGCAATCTAATGCCGTCGAAAGGCGAATCTTGCGTTTTTTCTACCAAGACTTCTGCAATAAATCTCCCAGAGGCTGGGCGGCAGGCAAGGGTGGGCTGCTTGGGACCACTTTGGCTGATTATGCTCGTGTGGGCCTAACCGAGCGTTCACCAGTTGGTTCGGTTTCAGTTCGGTCATCTGGTTCGGGAGCTCCTGACATGCTCGAAATCCCCCTGTTCCAAGCCTAACCATTTTCCTGACCTACAAAACTAATCCGCCCTCCCAATCGTACCTGCTTACACCTTCAACGCCCGAGTCGCCTTCCAAGACATTAGTTATGACTAGTAACTGATCTGAGCAAGCCTTGATGCTTCCGCACAATAATCTTTAGGACCACCACTACAACTCGCTACCACTGTGGCCTGCGTACGTACACGAGTTGCCAGTCGCACAGGATACGTGCCTTATGCTACACTAGAGAGAGTGTGGTGGAGAATTTCCGTTTGCTGATCACATGGCTCCTGAGGCCGGGTCGCGCGGCGTGTGTTGCTTTGTGGGAGGGCCGGACATGAGACGAATAACGAAATATTCTGACGTCATGTTTGACGGTCGACGTCGTCGTATTCAGACTGCATGCGGGTTTGCCGAGGGACCACGGCCAGCAGTGCTGCTCGCAGAGTGTTCACCGCTCACGGGGGGATGAATCTGTCGTTTGGTTCTCATTCAACGCGACGCTTCTGTCTCATTCTCAGAAGCCTCTGAAGATGAGAAGCCGCCTAGCGCGAATCCTCCACGTGTTCATCATATTTGAGCACGCCTGCTCCTGTGACGCCTTACTATTTTCAACCGCATAATCATCGCATTACTCGCGTAATTCACTACGACAGACCTCCGAGGTCGTCTCACTGTAACTGATAGTAGTACGGTAGTTAGCATCATGGAGCGGACTCGGATCGTCGGATCGTCCACCAGCCTTCTCCCGCTAATAAACGCCGGCCACGTGTCTTCCATCTGGCACGACATCCTCCTCATTCCGCCTCCCGCTTCTCCCCCCAGCGGCTCTTCCTCCCCGCCGCGCCACCGCAGCGTTTCCCCCTTCTCCACCCCCGCCTTCTCCTTCGTCTGCCGCTCCGCCAAATCCCTTTCCGCCGATTGCGGCGGCAGCCGAAGGCTTCGGCGCCGCGATGACCCCCTTTTCCTGCGGGAGAAGCGGATGGTCGTGATTGCCTTAGACGGCAGTCTTACCAAAGTACACCCGTCGCCGGCGGAGTCGCAGCCGTCGCCGGCGGAGTCGCAGACGTCGCCGTCGTCGGCGCTCCTACAAGCGTCGCCGTGGAATCTGGGTATCCTGCCGCAGACGTGCGTGCTCGCGTCGCGATGCATGTCGATATTCTCCCGCTTCGATGCGAAAGGCGATTCTGGCGGTTCGGATGGCCGCCAGGGCGAGTCGCGGGATAATGAACTCACAGAGTCGCTCTTAACGGCGTGCGACAATGCGCCGCTGGAGGCGCTGGAGATTGGGTCGCAGGCGCGCGATCCTGGCGACGTGTACGACGTTTTTCCGCTACTGGCGATGCCCCTGCGACTGCGGGGATCTGGGCGAAACAGCATGCCGATTTCGTGGAGGATTGTAACCATCGCAACGGACGACGAGCTGGTGACGAGCGGGCAGCTGAAACATTCCCTGCGCAACTTGTTGGATCGCGTTCGCGAATGGGCGAAAAAGTCGGATTGCTTTGGCGAAATAGTGGGACCAGGTATTATGCCAATCTGGTTCCTTCGACCATCCCCTCTTCAAGCCATCCTCCCCTCTCCTTTTGCTTGCCAATCCTCCTGCCCTCCCACTCCCCTACCCTCCCTCCTCACTCACCTCCCCTCCCCGTTAAATATCTCCTCGTTTCTGGATTCCACCCTTTGCTTCGCTTTCCCGCTCCTAGCTCGCTCCATACTCTCCTTGCTCTCCTTGCCCTCCTTGCTCCCTCCTTGCCCTCCTTGCTCCCTCCTTGCCCTCCTTGCCCCCTCCTTGCCCTCCTTGCTCCCACTTCTTCTCCTTGCCCGCTATCCTTCTGTTCTTTGGGGTCGCTCCGTCCCCTCTATAATCTCTCCATCTCGTGTGTGTCATAGGTAATCCTTCGTTTCTCCGCGTTTCCCCGTGCTCGACATTTATGGAAGAGCCAATCGCGTTCCTTTGTGCAATCTCGTCTACTTGATGATGATTGAGCAAGACGCAAGGAGTTAAACTGGAAACCCTTGCTAGACGTACTAAATTCTAAACCTCCTCCACCTCCCCTTCCCCCACCCCCTTCCCCTCCGCTTCCCCCTCCCCCTCCGCCTTCCCTTCCCTTCACGCACCTCTTTTGCCTCCACTCCACTCTCTCCCCGTCTCCTCGCGCTCTCCCCGCTCTCCCTCGTCCCCACAGGTCGCTCCCCCAATCTCTGCTTTGACGCCTCCCCATCGCCCTCGCCCGCGGAAGCAGCAAACAGAGAGGCGGGCGGAAGTCAATCCGGACTTGAAGACTCAAGAGCTCAGAGCGAGGAGAGGGGAGCGTGGGGCGGCGGAAATGGAGGAGGGGGATCGCTGAGAAGGATCTCAAGAATCAACGGTCGAGATTTAAAGATAGAATTCGGGGGAGTGGAGGAACCGGAGGAGGAATGGGGTAAGACTGCAAGGGAAGCAGATGAGAAGGAGGAAATGGAAAAAGAGCAGAGGGAGCAAGCGAGGGAAGCGGTGCAGGCAGTGCTGCATGCGCACAGCACGTGGCGAATCCTCTGCCCCACTCTGCGCTGCCCTGCTCTCAAGCGCCTGGAGAATCGCCACCGTGGCACCTCGCACCTGCCCGAAAAAAGCCATGGCAGCTCGCACCTGCCCGAAAAAGGCCATGACGGCTCGCACCTGATGGGAAAAAAGCAGCAGCAGCAGGAGCCGCCGCAGCAGGAGCGACAGAATAAGCTTTTGCGCAGCCCTGTAATATCGTGCCACTCGTCCAGTGCTATGACGGTTCCCTCCTGGTCCTTCTCTTCCTCTCCTTCTCCTCCCTCTTCTTCTCCCTCTTCTTCTTCTCCCTTTTCTTCTCCCGCACATTCAGACTCGTATAAGGCAGCTTCGTTACCGTCTAAGCCTGCATTCTCCAGCCAGGCGGCGTCTCTAACACGCCAAAGCAGATCCGATACGGATATCAGTGCAACAGGCGTGTGGAGGCTGATTGCTCCTTCCGAGAGCTATGGACTTCCGGGACTGGTCTCTGCTGGTAGGCTGAGAGGGAGTGGAGAAGGAGGAGGAGGAGGAAAACAACAAGGGGGACGGGAAGAGGGAGGAGGCGGAGTAAAGGGCGGTGTTGCCAGGAGAGGAGAAGCAACCAAGCACAGGCACAGGCACAGCCTCGACCTTACCTTGATGATCAAGAACAATGACTTCCATCACAGCTCTGATTCTTCTGCCCGACTTGTGGTTTCTGCTGCTAAGGTTGCAGCAGCAGCAGCAGCAGCGGCAGCAGAAGCTGTGAAGTCACAAGTTGTTACGGGAGTGGCGGCTACAGCTGCCGCTGTTGCTGCAAACAAGCATGCTGTGGCAGAAACTGTAGCAAGAAGTGTAGCACGGCCTTTTACACGCCCAGCTCATTCCTCTCTTCTCAGCCCCTGCCACTCTCCTTCTGGGTTGGCTCTAAAGTTACACCTCCCTCCTCGATCCCCTCCTCTCACTCCCTCATCTCGATCCCCTCCTCTCACTCCCTCATCTCGATCCCCTACTCTCACTCCCTCATCTCAATCCCCTCCTTTCGCTGCCTCATCTCGCTCCCCTCCTCTCACTCCCTCATCTCCATCCCTTCCTCTCACTCCCTCATATCAATCTCCTCATCCCAACTTCTCAACTCATTCCCCTCCCTTCACTCCATCTCAATCCCCTCCTCTCCCTCCCTTATCTCAATCCCCTCTCACTCCCTTGCCCCTATCCCCTCCTCTCACTCCTTCGTCCCAATCCCCTCCTCTCACTCTTTCTCACTCCTCCACTGCGCCTCCATCCCCTTCTGCTCACTGTTCCAGCTTACAATCACGTGCTAGTACCTTCTCCACCGCTTCGTCTCCAACATTCAACACCCCCTTTGCTCGCCCATCCAGCTTCAAGTCAGCCAGCACCACCGCAGTTTCTCCACGATTTGCCTCCCCGTGTGCGCGCCGCTCCATCTTGAAATCTGCCAGCACCACCGCAGCATCGCCAGCACCCGGCAAGCGGGTGTCTTGGAACATTGACCCAGATACCTCACCTGCCTCTGCCACTGCTATTACGCCTGGGGGGAGTCCTACACTACCAAGAGCAGGCGGTTACGAGCCCATGGTGAGGCGGGCAGGGAATGTTTTTGATAGGCTCGCTGGTGAAGCTGCTGAGTCTAGTCATGGAGCAACGGCCCTAGCAGATGCGGCTGCTGCTGCTGCTGCACGTGCTGCAACGGCTGCTGGTGCTGCGATGACTGCTGCAGCATTTTCATTGACTTCCAGGCCTTCCCGGAATCTTCCTTCTTCCAAGCGCCCTGTAAAGAGCGCGAGCTCCGACCAGATTCACAGCCGTGTTGAGACAACTCAACTTCCGAGCGGGTCGGAAGCTTCTGGAAAGGGGGAACTGCAAGGGAGAAGGGGAGGGAGAAAGGCACGCCCTCTATTTGTGGTAGCGCCTAGGCGCAGCGTGCACAAGCGGGCCTTCAGTGACGGCGCATCGTTTGGATCGCCTATTCTTTCCGCAACACCATCCGCATGATGTTACGGGCGGTAGCATGCTCTTCTTTCTTTCATTTGTTCTTTGTGAGTAACGCATTAGTTACCAAAGGATAATATTGTCTCATTAATTATTCAACCACAACCGCCACCATGTGAAACCATTTTGTACGTGGCACAATAGTCAACAATACATGCCCGTCACGCACTTCCCCGTCCTCTAAACGAATAAGGCTGCTGTTCAGCCGCCAGTGAGTAAGCGTATTCCCCACCACAGGCACCGGCAGGAACCCCACATCCCTGCCATTCACCTTTACATCTGCACCGTCCATCTTGTGCTCCTGCTTCGTCCAGTCCAGCATCTTGTACACCACGCCGATTCCCTTAGTCACCCCCCGCACATCCACAGCCACACGCAGAGGAGCGCGGGCAGCCTGGACCTTCCAGCAGAGAATCTGAGGCACCAGCGGTCCACACGCCTCCTGCACCCACGACGCATTCGCCTCCGCGATGCTCTTCACACTCGCCGCGTCCCCTTTAGAGGCAGCCTCTTTAACAGCTGTATACCCCTCGGGGAACTCCACGGTGCCTACGGCCGTGACGTTCCAGGTGTTGCCCAGCACGCAGCGTGGGTGCGGGTCTGCCGCGCTCTGCAACGGCGGCAGCATGCATGGCGCTGAGAGCGGCGGGCCGAGGGACGAGAAGCCCAGGTCACCGAAGCACTTGCGGCAGAGGGAGGTGGGTGGGCAGAGCAGCGCGGACTGAGTAGACGGCGCCGCCTTGCCGTCCACCCAGTCCAGGCGCAGGTGGTGGCGGGAGAGAGCGAGGCCCTCTCGGCGCAGGTAGTGCAGCGCGAGGGAGAAGAGGCGGTGGGCTGTCAAGCTGCCTGCCATGCCGTGCCCGGCTGCAGAGGGATGCACTCGGTCCACAAACATGTGCGCCCATGTTAAGTTCTCCGCAGGCTCGGATGACGGCGGGGCCAGCACGCCAGGCTTGGCGGGAGGCTCGGAGGAAGGGTCGGCCGGGGCTGGGCAGGTTGGGGATGCTGCGGTGGCGACGAGGGGGAAGTAGGCTCGCCAGGGGCTGACAGCAGGGACACTGTAGTAGGCTGAGAGGTGGTTGAGCAGGGCCTCGGCTGAGTGGTGGAAGGCAGAGAGAAGAGGGTCGTGTGGATGGAAGACTCCGAAGTTGAGGAAGAGGACTAGCGGGTGTGATGGTAGCAGGAGGAACTGGCGCAGTAGACCCTCCGCTGCTGCGTACTGCGTGCCCTCTGGTGGGGGTTGGTGACAGGGAGGGGAGTCGGAGAGGAGGGATTGGTAGGATTGAGCTGGGTGTAAGGGGGTGAAAGAGCATGGTGAAGGGTGGAAAGGAAGAAAGCAGGGGATACAGTAACCAGCGTGAGGGGCACCAAGACAGCCAGCGTCAAGTCAGGCACTCAGGTGAAGACGTTTCCAACCCCTCACCACTGTACCCATCACCGACTTACTCATGCAAAATTTATGGAGCGAGGGGCAAAGGAATGGAATGGAATGGCATTGCAGGAAAGCGTGTGGACGCTTGCAGGTGCATGGAGCACCACCCAGCCCATGCAGCCCATCCCACCATGCCATCCCACCATGCCATCCCACCATGCCATCCCACCATGCCATCCCACCATGCCATCCCACCATGCCATCCCACCATGCCATCCCACCATGCCATCCCACCATGCCATCCCACCATGCCATCCCACCATGCCATCCCACCATGCCATCCCACCATGCCATCCCACCATGCCATCCCACCATGCCATCCCACCATGCCATCCCACCATGCCATCCCACCATGCCATCCCACCATGCCATCCCACCATGCCATCCCACCATGCCATCCCACCATGCCATCCCACCATGCCATCCCACCATGCCATCCCACCATGCCATCCCACCATGCCATCCCACCATGCCATCCCACCATGCCATCCCACCATGCCATCCCACCATGCCATCTCACCACACCATCCCACCACACCATGCCTCCACGCCAGTCCACCTACCTGGAGGCGGCACCATGCCGGGCTGCAGCACGGACCAATCATTAGCGGCGCACTCCAGAAGCACTATGTCTGCCTCGCCCGCTGCGCGCCGCTGCTCCTCCCCGTCCGCCCACAGCGCCTCCAGCAGCTCCCCCGTGCAGAAGTGCAGCACGTAGGAGCCGGCTCCGGGTAGGAAGGCCCGGATGAGACGGTGCTGAGGGGTTGAGGGCGGTGTGGGGAACACCTGGGGAGGGGATGAGGGAGATGCGGGATGGGGAGAGGCAAATTTTGAGTCGATTCACAGCTCCCCTGTGCAGCGCCTCTGCTCCGCCCCGTCCGCCCACAGCGCCCCCAGCAGCTCCCCCGTGCAGAAGTGCAGCACGTATGACCCCGCCCCGGGTAGGAAGGCCCGGATGAGACGGTGCGGAGGGGTTGAGGGCGGTGTGGGAAACACCTGGGCAGGAGGGATGGGGGAAGGAGGGATGGGGAGAAGAGGGATGGGGAGAGGAGGGATGGGGGAAGGAGGGATGGGGGAGAGGAGGGATGGGGCAAGGAGGGATGGGGGAAGGAGGGATGGGGGAAGGAGAGATCGGGAGAGGAGGGATGGGGAGAGAAGGGATGGGGAGAGGAGAGATGAGTTGACCCTGGCCCTCTTTCCTTCCGCCCTCCCCACAACAACCACACCCACACCTGCTGCACCCAGTGCACGCCGCCCGGCAGGTGCCCTGCGGCCCTCCTTCCTTTGCCCCCTTCCTCCTCTTGCACATCCCACAACAACACACACCTGCTGCAGCCAGGCCACAAGGGCCTGGCCGTACGTGCCGGTGCCGTGCATGACGCCATCCTTCCAGCCCTCCTTCTCTTGCACTACTACTCCTCCGCCCTTCCTAGAACAACCACACACACACCTGCTGCAGCCAATCAACGAGCGCCTGGCCGTACGTGCCGGTGCCATGCATGACGCCATCCTTCCAGCCCTCCTTCTCTTGCACTACTACTCCTCCGCCCTTCCTAGAACAACCACACACGCACCTGCTGCAGCCAATCAACGAGCGCCTGGCCGCTATGTTGCACTATACGCTTTTGAAATTTAACGTATCGCGTATATGCGTTCACGTATAAACGGGAAAACGTGAAACGGGGACAAATACGCGATACGTGAATTCGGGCAGGGCGAAAAAAATTCAAAAAAAAAATAAAGTTCGCGCTTTTTCCGTACGCACGTATTCCGACATTTCGGGTCGCGTTTTTCCAACCTGTGGACGTGCAAAACCGAATCGCCACGTTCACCCCACGAAACTCAACATTGCCCAATCACCCCCAACAACTCGTGACCAACCAGAGCACGTCCCCCACCCCGCAACCAATTCGTGGTAGGTATAATTGACCCCACCACAACACATCTCTCATTCCTGTTCAGTTCAGTGTTGAGCTATGTCTACTCCAGTCCCTTCTAACCACACTCAGCCTTCTGGTCCGTCTACTCAGCATAGTGATCCTTCTGCCTCGACTTCGGAGGCGCAATGGCTGGAGGAGGATAGTACGCATGTCGTCTTCAAGCATTTCAAGGTTCCCATCCGTCCCGACACAGTCGGGACTATCCGCGTTTGCAAGTATTGCTCCAAGGAGTTCAAGGGTGGTGCGTTCCAATGCGCTCAGCATCTCGCGAAATGGAAGGGACAGCGCTCTCGCGACGTCCGCCTGTGCGCTAAGGTTCCGGCCGACGTGCGAGCGGCGGTGGCCGCGCACTACGAGAAGAAGGCGTCCAACCGCGACGAGAAACGGCGGGCCGAGGATGCTGCGCTCAATGCTGTCGTGGGAGGTGCGAAGAGAGGACGCATCACCGACTTCATCGGCGACGAGGCGCAGTGCAAGAAGGGCGAGGCGGACTACGCCGTCAGTTTGTTCTTCGCCGGCTGTCGCATTCCCGAACACCACGCCGACAACCCGTTGTGGCGCAACATGGTCAGGGCCATTAACAACGCACCCCACGGTTACGTTGCGCCGCGACGGAACTACATCGGAGGAGCTGGTCTGAAGCAGTGCCGCACGAGCATCGAGAAGGGGCTTCAGCCAATCGCCGCGAGCTGGAAGAGGGATGGCGTCACCGTCTCCTCCGACTTGATGACCGATCGGTGCGGGAGGCCGCAGGCGAACGTCATGCTGGTCAACGATTCAGGAGCGGTGTTCGTGGAGGCTATCGACTGCAACATGGAGTCCAAGACCGGCGGCTACATCGCGTCGCTCCTCCGCCCCATCATCGAGAAAGTGGGGCCCCAAAACGTGGTCGCACTTTGCATGGACGGCGGATCCAACTACGGTGCCGCCTGCAAGGAGCTGATGGCGGATTGGCCCCACATCGAGTACGTGCCGTGCGCTACGCACGTACTCGACCTCCTGTTGGAGGACGTGGGCAAGATCACGTGGTGCAAGGACATTGTGGATCAGTGCGGGGACATGATCACCTACGTGCGCAACCACCATTTCACCCGCAACTACCTGAGGAGTAAGAAGGTGAAAGGAGGAAAGGGGAAGCAGCTTGTGAAGCCGGCGGGGACGAGGTTCGGCACCAACTACATCGCCCTCTCCAGGCTCGTCGAGCTGCGGTCCACGCTGTCGCAGATGGTGCTGAGCGAGGAGTTCGCCAACTGGTCGGCGGGGGCTAGGAAGACGACGGCGAATACATTCCGCGGGCAAGTCATGGACGACGCCTGGTGGAAGAACGCTGCGTACCTGGCGGAGCTGTTGGCAATTCCATTCAAGGTGATGCGCGCCACGGACAGCAGCGCCAAAGGGATGATGGGGACCATCTACGACCTAATGCTCCAGCTGACCGAGGACGTGAACGACAAGCTGGAAGCGGGGGAGAAGATCTTGCCGCGGGCGGTTGCGACTGACATTGGGAAGATTGTTCGGCGCCGTTGGGACGAGAGCCTTGCGTGCGCTCTTCACGTCGTGGGGCGGATCCTCAACCCGGCAAATCAGGAGGAGGGTATTTTCCGCAACGACATGGAGTGTACCCGCATCTTCAAGGCCTTCATCGCACGTCACTACGACGGTAAGACGTTCACCAACAAGGATGGTGAGGAGAGGCGTGCCTCTCTTGTTTTGCAGGAGGGGCTCACGGCCTTCCTCACCCTTGATGGTTCCTTCGGCCTTCCTGAGGCAATTGCCGACAGGGAGGCCGTGAAGGCAGGCAAGCTGTTGATGGTGGCGTGGTGGGGATGGCACGGGACTGACCACCCCCACCTGGCCAGCCTTGCGTGCCGTGCCCTGACACAGCCGGTGTCGGCGTCGCCGTGTGAGCGCGGGTGGGCATCATTCGAATCGGTGCACACTGCCCGCCGCAACAGGCTAGGCTCGGAGAAGCTCCGAGACCTAGTTTTTGTGACCCACAACTGGCGTGTGGTCCACAAGTACCACAAGATGGGTGAGTCATTGGCGGTGCTTCCGGGCAACATGCCTGAACCCGCTCTGCCGGAGGGATACAACAAGGAGGAGGAAGGGGAGGAGGAGGAGGAGGGGGAGGAGGATGAAGGTGTGCTGGCCGATGAGTACGTGAAGTAAGAACGGCAGCAGCAGCAGTGTAAGTGGTTCAGGAGCTGGGCATGCAAGAGGAGTAGAGGAGGAGAAGCAGATGAAGGTTTGGGGAGTAGGGGAGAAGGGGAGAAGGGGAGTAGGGGAGTAGGGGAGTAGGGGAGTAGGGCCCTCGGGAAAGTAGTTGCTAGTATGTGTGTACTTGCAATGCATGTTTGTAATGGGGAAAAAAAGTTTCATACGTCGGGAAAAAACCAACTGCACAAGGTCAAAATGAACATAGGCAGCGTGACTCACCCCCCCATACTTTTTTTCCCTGCCCGGAACTTTTTTTTCACCTGCCCGGGCGACCGTATTTCGAGCGTATCGTGGGGCTGAAATCGCCCGTATCACGTACGTACGTGAGCGTACAGTACGTACGCGACTGGTACGTGAAACGCGTATTTTGCAACATAGCCTGGCCGTACGTGCCGGTGCCGTGCATGACGCCATCCTTCCAGCCCTCCTTCTCTTGCACTACTACTCCTCCGCCCTTCCTAGAACAACCACACACACACCTGCTGCAGCCAATCAACAAGGGCCTGGCCGTAGGTGCCGGTGCCGTGCATGACCCCCCCCGGCAGGTGGCCCGCAGCGGAGATGGAGCCGCCCACCGCCAGCACCGTGAGCGGCCGGCCCGCCAGCAGCTTCGCCAGCAGCACCAGGAAGCGGTGCAGCGGCGGGTCGAAGGCGACGCTCCTCTGCACCACGTCCACGCCGTAGCTGGTGGAGAGAAGGGGGGGCGGGGTGGTGGGGGCAACATGGCGAGGTGGGGACATGGGTGAGCGGCCGCCCTGCCAGCAGCTTCGCCAGCAGCGCCAGGACGCGGTGCAGCGGCGGGTCGAAGGCAGCACTCCTCTGCACCACGTCCACTCCGTACCTGGTGGCGGCGGGGAGGGGGTTGGGGGGTGCCAGGAAGAGAGTGTGGAAGGGGGAGGAGAGGAGGGGAAGATAGGACGTCAGCAGCTTCGCCAGCAGCACCAGGAAGCGGTGCAGCGGTGGGTCGAACGCGACGCTCCTCTGCACCACGTCCACGCCGTAGCTGGTGGCGGCGGGGGGGTTGACGGGGCGTGGAGGGGGAGGCGGAGAGGGTGAGGAGAGGAGGCGGGCATAGGACGTGAGCAGCCTCCCTGGCAGCAGCAACAGGCGAAAGCTTTGCAGGTGAAGGAAGGCCCAAGGGCTCGGCGTCTGAGCGCAAACATCTGATCTGCTGCTTGGCCAAAATAGGGGAGAAGGGAGGTGCAATGGAGGGGTGAGGAGCGAAGGGGCAGGAGGTAAGTAAAGGGGAGAGACGGGGGAAGGGAACCAGAGAGAGGGGTGGGAGAGGTGACAGTGGAAGGCCGCGACTTGGCAAGAAAGCCCGTCCGCGACACAACCCTGCACTCTGCCCGCTGCTGCCTGCCTGCCACATCGAAGGGCTGCAGTCGCCATGCCCAAACTTGCCCTCCGCGTCCACCGCCTCGCCTTCACCCCTTTCCGCTGTCCCCATGCCCTCTCTCCCCTCTCTCCCCGAACCACTGACGGTTGCGCGCGCCGCTGCTCGCCCCTCTCACCGCTGCTCGCCCCTCTCACCGCTGCTCGCCCCTCTCACCGCTGCTCGCCCCTCTCACCGCTGCTCGCCCCTCTCACCGCTGCTCGCCCCTCTCACCGCTGCTCGCCCCTCTCACCGCTGCTCGCCCCTCTCACCGCTGCTCGCCCCTCTCACCGCTGCTCGCCCCTCTCACCGCTGCTCGCCCCTCTCACCGCTGCTCGCCCCTCTCACCGCTGCTCGCCCCTCTCACCGCTGCTCGCCCCTCTCACCGCTGCTCGCCCCCCTTACCGCTGTTCGATGTCCCACATGGCCTGCTGCAGTCGCCGGCCCACCTCCAAGCACTCCGCCGCCATCGTCGCTCCCGCCGCCGCCGAACCCACGCCCCACCCGCCTTTCGATCCGCCCTCTGCGCCCCCCGGAATCCTTCCGCTGCTCCCCCATCCGCGCACGTGTCTTCCGCCAACCCCTCCTTCGAGCAATTGAGGCGGGGCTTTGAGTGCCGGGAAAATCATCAGCACAGCAATCAGCGCAATCTGCGGCCGCAAGTTTCGGACAGAGTTCATCGCAAATAAGGGGAATTGCGCTGTCGACACGGTTTCATGTCGTCAGCGACTTGGTCGGCGTCAACGCACTCGCTAGTAGTTGCTCGCGAGTTTCTGCGAAGGACGCGGGCACTCACACCGATTTTGGCGATCGATTTCGGGGCATGATCTTTTCTTTACGAATTTGAAACAGGTGAAGAAAGTTTTAGATTATAATAGCAGGTTTCCAGTGCGGTGGCAGATCGAAAATTTTCAATCCATCGCCAAAATGGATGCGTTTGTCCGCGTCCTAAGGGCGAAGGTTGGTGGCGTCCCCAAGTAAGTTCGTGTCCGTAGGCTTGACATGTCAAGTGAGGGCGTGTCAACCCGAAGCGCATTCAAATTAGCGTGTCAAACATTGTAGCTGAAGTGTCAAGTCGAAGCGCATGTACGAACATCAGCGACGGAATTTCATTGGTTTGAGAATTTGTCATGGGTGGATCTGCCAGGTAGCGAACAATTCAAAAGACAGATTGTGTGCTGATTGGGCAGCATCTGGTCGTGAGATAGGCACCTGCGACCATCTTCTCTCGTTTGTAGGTTTGACTGTGCCAATTTAGAAAGTGTCCGACGATTTGTATTGGATGGCAACATGCAATTTCTTGACACCCTGCCAACAATGTTGGCTGAGTGTCAAAATGCCAAATTGACACTGCCCGCTTTGACATGTCATCCCTACGGACACAACCTAAGGTGGATCGCTATCGCACGGTGCGTGTGTGTGTGGCTGGCTTTCATCTATACAGAACGGATCCATTAGCGGTACATAAATTTCCGATGACATTCAATAAACTGGGTAATAGAATCACTTCCGATTCACGGTTGCGAGATATGTACATACATGACCGCTTTGATCGTAAATAATGTTAGTTTACCTAAAATATGTATATATAAATATATAAATATATATATCATGAAATTAGAGAAAATATTGTAGAGAAGGACAAGAGAAAAATTATAGTACGGTATTGAGAAATTCAGCAACATAGGAACATGGCAGAAATAATCAAAGCCTCCGTTTATGCGTGTCAGATTGATGAAGCCTAATAACATATAGCGGGGAGAGAGTGTAACGCCTATAGGCATTCCCACTGCGGAATGTCTAGCGGCAACAGTGTTGCCGCAACACCCTCCCAGCCGGTAAACGGTGAGGCGTTACGGCAGATGTACCTACCAACTGTGGAGTGATGTCGTCCACTCTTTTCTCGTGCGACCAATGCCTTGCCCAACTCTTCATTTTCCGCTCAGTTCCACTCCAGGCCGATTCTGTTGCTTCCTGTTGCCCCGGTCCGTCTGTCAGAATGTTTCTTGTTCCAGGCCGGCCGGGCCAAGCTAGCTTCAAGGGCAGCACGAAGGTCATCCATCTTATGCTGCTGCTTCACCAATTTATGATAGAAAATATGTGCAGATTCCCTCATTTGTCGTCTCCTTGGTTGATCAGATTACCATTCGCCATTACTTGAGCAGCTTCCAGAGTCGTGAGATTGTCGTTATGGCTGCTCAAAACGCAAGGAAAAGAACCGTGATGGCGCTCGGTTTACTGATCCTGTCACTACTGACGTCAGCGTCCATGACGTCCGCCGCTGGTCCCCCGCGCAAGTTTCAGACGACTGCGATTTATGTTGCTCCTTCGCAGAGTAAGCGGCGGTAGCATCTGAAACCGCAACTTATCCGGACGCTTTCATCGCAATACTGCATTCGACCATCGTCGCGACTCCTCCCCTGAACGTCCCATTGCTCCATTATCTCGTCTCACGTCATTCGATGAGATGCAATTTCGTCTCTTCTTGCAACACCGCGTGGTCTTTCCATTAGTTATCGAGCAGGCGCTCCCCGCATATATTCCTCGTCACCTCACAATCGCTTTTCCCCCGCAACCAATTCGTTCAGTCTGGATTTCCCCTTGTGCCCTCGCTTACCTCCAATATTGTCTAGCAACCCTTTCTCTCACCGTTCCCCGCAAGGCTGGAGCTGAAAACAGTTTTCGGATCGTGAACCAAGTTCAATGTCAAGAGACGTGCCAAGACAGCTCGCTCCCCAGCCGTCGTCATCCTTCCCCCTCCCCCCCTCCCCCCCTCCCCCTTCTACCCGGCGCCCCTCCACGCGTCCCTCCCCTTTTCGAGTACCCACGCGATGATGTCGCCGAAGGTGGCGCCAACGCCGCGGGCATTCCGCCTGCCTGATATTGTAACGCTTTAGAAAGGGCATTCCGCTGCGCCGAATATCCTTTGTCTGACCCGGGTAGTGAGGTGTGCCTAGGGTTCGAATCTTGACTGGTCCACATTTTCCGCCTGTGGCGAGAACTCCTTGTGATCACCAGATTTGAACCCAGCGGACGATCCTCCGCTGGCCTGACCACTAGCGAAGTCGCTGCTTGCACCACAGCAGAATTGAGGTCCCTGCGGGGGCCGACTCCCTGAAGGTCAGAGCCAACGGGGACGTTGGCACCATGGGGGAACGAGTTTAACGCCTGTTGGCCAAATAACACCCTCGTTTTGTCTCAGTGGTTAGCATGGTGCTATAAATAACCTCACGTAGTGAGACATTTGAAGTCGGCACTCCAACCCACTCCCTCCCGCCCCCTCCCTCCCCTGCCACACCCCCCTTCCCCTCGGCTCGGCCACTCTCCCTCTCCCTTCCCCCGTCTGCTCCCCTCCAACCCTCCCCCTCCAAGTGCCGGCGATGATGGGGCTGAAGGCGGCACTAACGCCGTACATCAACCTCACGTCGTGAGACATCTGATCTCCGCTCTCCAACCCTCTCCCTTTCTCCCGTGCTCCCCTCCATGCGCCCACCCCCCCACCAACCCCTGCCTCCCTCCCCACCCCCCCAAGTGGCGGCGATGATGGAGGTGAAGGCAGCACTAACGCGGTACATCAACCTCACGTCGTGGGCGGCCAGCAACCCGTGTGCGTCGTGGGCGCTGGTGACGTGCTGGGCGGACGGGCTGGTGCGCCGCATGAACCTCAGCGCCCACGCCATTCAGGGCACCCTGCCCTCCGCCCTCGGCACGCTCTCCACCCTCGATGAGCTGTACGTGACTCACCCAGGAGGCATGGGAAGGCAGGAGGCTGGGGGAAGGGGAATGGAGAACGCAGTGGTGTGTCGTTGTGAGTGAGGCGGAGTGTAGGGGGGAAGATAAGACGGGGAAGATAAGACGGGGACGTGTTAGGACGAGGAAGAGGGATAAGGGTGACGGAACACCATCTCCTGACCTCAATATGCAAGTCTACGCCTATGACCTCTTGTCTCACTCGCCTTTTCCCCCTCTATTTCCTTTCCCCCTTCCCTTTTTCTTTTCTGCCAACGCCAGTGTTGCCACCAATAACTGGCTCACAGCACCTCTCCCCGACTCATTCAGTCGACTCACAGCCCTCACAAACCTGTCAGTGCGCTCATACCCTGCCCATGTACTCACATGACCACATACGCCTCTGGTCATGTACTCACATGACCACACACGCCTCTGGTCATGTACTCACATGACCACACACGCCTCTGCTAAACTCCAAACCTTCCAGCCTTTGTGACTTTCGCCGGTCCCAGCGTCTGCGTATCCATGCTGTAAACTGTTCCTTGGCATAGCTGTAAATTGTCATGCTGCGCACTGTCATGCTGCGTTCATCACCCCATCGCAGGCAGCTGTCAGAGAACTACTTTGCGGGGCCTATCCCAGACTCATGGGGCAACATGAAGAGCCTTGTGCAGCTGTGAGCCTTGCTTCGAGACGTCACATCATACTGACGTATACGTATTCTACTCCACGCTATCTCATGCCATGCGATGTGCCATACCAGTCCACGTAATGCCATTCCTTGCACACATGATGTTATCCCATGCCATGCCGTACCATACTATGCCGTAACCAAACATCACGCGTCATGTAGTGGCCTTTCAACAAGGCTATACTTGGCGCGACTCAACCACGTCCACTACGATATCCTCTGTCCTCGCCTCCTACCCACCACCATCCACCCTCCATCTTCCTCAACAAACCAACCTCCATTTTCTGCTTTCTCGTCCCCCCCCTGCCCTCTGCTGCTCTGCTCTGCCCTCATCCGTGCCTGTTGCAGCTACCTCAACCTCAACTACTTTTCAGGCGGACTGCCTGACACTTTTTCACAGCTGACCAACATGCAGAAACTGTGCGTTCCTACCTATGGTTGAAACCCCAACTCAGCTTCTTGACTCCAACATGATTATTTAGTACGGTCAACGGGTTGGCTCCCAACAAGCATTACTGGCCACCCGCATGTTTGCCAACCCAACCAGCAAACACTTAGTGGCCCTCCAATATATGTTGGTTCGAACCAACCTAGTCAAGCCAGCTTTGACCTCCCTGTCCCAACGTATACCCGTGACCTCTCCTAAGCAATCAGTTAAATTTCCTTTCTTTCAGTAACCTGCTTTGTCCCCTCACTCACTGTGCGTTCACCCGCTCGTCGATCCCTTTGCCATATCGTCGTCCGAGTATGATGTTCATTGCATTGCATGGCCTCCTCCTGTGGATGGAGCGCCACCATCAACGCATTGCTGCTCTGCTCTCGTGACGCTCCTCTGGACTCCCCCCTGCAACAGCTTCGTCTCTATGAACCTGCTCAACTCCTCCTTCCCCACTGTCGTGTGCGCCATGACCAACCTTAGAGAGCTGTGAGTGTCGCCCTTCGCCGTGTGGCAGTATGTAAATGTACCGAGAGCTGCTAGTAACACACTGCCGCGCTTGTTACATCTGTGTCAGCCGTGATCCACATACCACATTTACATACCACATACGTACGGCCAGCAGGTGTAAACCATACCCTAAGGTCGCTTCTGGCTTACTGCCGTGCCTATCGCCTCCTTTTTTTCCCTCCTCGCGCATCTGTTCCTCCCTGCACCTCTTCCTCCCCTGTCTCCACGGGTCCCACCAGTCGCCTCAGCTACAACAAGTTCACGGGCTCGGTACCCTCCTGCCTCAGCACCCTCTCCTTCCTCTACGATCTGTGCGTTCTGTTCCTACCTTCTTCGCCCGGATAGCTTGTCATCACTCTTCAGATGCCATGTGGATCCTAGAGCGCCCACCTCTGTTCATTAGACCTCTTCAGGTCAGGAGCTCTGAAAGTCTGCGTTTACTACCACAACACAACGCGCTGCTCTTCCAAGACTATTAAGCCAAAAGTAGATGCTGCTTGTTCCAAACACTCCGGACATCGATTATTCATTCATGCAACAACGGCCTATTGTGCCCCCCTCCGCTCACTTCCACCACGCCACACGGCACCATCCATCAGGCACATGGACTCCAATGACCTCACAGGCACTCTTCCGGCCGCCATCGGCGACCTTCCAGCCCTTCAGAACCTGTGAGGCCCCTCAACTGTTAGCCCGCTCCTTTCGAATCACTTAATTCGTTTGTGACACTCCTTGACTGATAGTCCTCCTGCTTATGCCAACACTCCACCAATTCTTCACTTTCTCAAAATCTGTGCTGCTACTACTTTATGCACCACAATCCACTCACTCCTCTTACCTCACCCAACGCCTCCTGCGCTCTGCGCTCAGGTTCATGAATCAGAACAGCCTGAGCGGCCCTCTGCCTCCCATCATCACCAAGCTCACCAACCTGCGCATCCTGTAAGCTCCCAACGTGGTATACAGCTCGTGCTTTTAGGCGCGTCAATCCTTTATATGTATTCACTGTACAGCTCTCGTTCTCCTACAAATTCCCTTCCTCCACCCCCTTCTCTCCCCCCACCCCCCCCTGTCAGCGTGATGAGCAGCAACCCTTATCTGGATGGCCCGCTGCCATCGGACCTGGGCAACATGGTCAGCCTCACGGACTTGTGAGTGTCCTACTCATGGCATTGCTATCATGGCATGCACACGTTGAATGATGTATGCTCCCTCTGTTTCCTGCCCTTGGCTTGGCCTCTTGTCACTCTCCCTCCACAGATCCCTCCCGCCCTATTATATCCCATTTTACCTTTCCAGAAGGACCGTGCTGCTGTGTGTCTGCTAAATTCTGCAGCCTTCAAAATGCCCTCACCTTCTCTTTCCTTCTTTTGCCCTCCTCCGTTCCCGTTCACCCGTCCCCCCCCTTCCCTCCTTTCCCGTTCACCCATGCCCTTCTCTTCTCTCCTGCCCCCCACGGCCACAGCCTAATGGAGTTTGCAGCTATCAACGGCACCATCCCTGATTCCATCTCCTCGCTCACTCGCCTCTCCCGCATGTAAACCCCCTTCCTTCACTGCCATGCCTCCCTCGCCCTCCTAATGCCTTCTGCATACCGCACCTGCTCGTTCACCTGCTGCTCACCACAGCATCACCTCTGTCAAAGCTGCACTCATACCGTCGATCATCTCGACATGTGCAGCCTCACCTCTCTCTCACCTCATCGCTTCATCCCTGCAGTCTGCTTGACTGAATCAAGGCACAGTGAGGTCTCTGGCTGTGGGCAATCACATATGGTAAACCATGTCCAGCAAGGCTCTTGGTACCTGTTTGCCGGAGCCTACCTGTGTGGATATTGGTCATCTCTTTGCCCAGCGGCAAGGGTTCCAGTTCCACCTAGGTGCAGTTCTTGGGGGGCTGCAGCCATGGAGAGGGAAGCGCTCATGCAGGGATTCCTCTGCTCTGCTAAACTCAAGAACGTAGAGCATCAGTAGGGAAGATGGCATGGCAATCCTTGTTAGTCTGATACACCATCGTCGCTTAGTTTCTCCATCATTGTTAAATTTGCAGCATGCATATCTTATTGTGTTTTGCGCTTTCCTCTCAACGTGTCAAATCATCTTAGCTTACCTCCAATTCTCCCATCCTGCTTGACCGATCCCCGGTCAATGTCTTGAACGCACAACCAGCTCTCATGCCTTGCTAAGTGTTTCTCCATCTCACTCGTGCAGTTTTTTTGGAGGCAACAAGCTCAGCGGCTCCATACCTGATGCCCTTAGCTCGCTCACAGGATTGGTGCAACTGTATGGGCCTATCTCTTGTTCAGATTCTTCTGCATTTGATGGTTACAAGCCAAATTCCAATTTTCAAGTGTGCTGTTTCTTCGAGTGTACACACTGAGTGGGCAGTGTGTTGAAGTATGTTCTACCCCCTCTCCTATCAACGTGTCAGTGCGTCTTAGGTCCTAGTTTCCTATCCTTTTTGTCCAGTCTATAGTCATTGGCCTTGCATACTCCACTCCACTAAGTCTCATGCCTTGCCCGATGTTTTCCACCCATGCACAAGCGCAGGTATCTGTCTGAAAATCAGCTCAACGGCTCCATTCCTGCCACCCTTAGCTCGTTAACAGGACTGAAAGGATTGTACGGGCCTACCCCTTGTCCTGCTGCTTTTGCATCTGATGGTCAAAATACTTTCTACATTTTGCACAAAAAGATTTTCGTGTGCGTGTTGATGTTTTGCACCCAAAGCATTACACTAGATTCATGCATTTGAATTCCCCGATCCCTCCTCAAGTCTGCCCCACCCCACTTCCTCTCATCTCTATTTCATCCTCCAATTGATTCCTCATACTGCCTGGCAATACTCATTGCCACTTTCACATTTCATGCTTGTGTTCGCATTGCACCGCACTCCATTCCTCTCCCATTCCACGTGTAATTGCTGCACTTTGGGGGAGGCGAGGAACACCTCCCTCTGTCCTCGCATCTCCTTCCCCCGTCCATGTCCTAATATTGCCTGCACGCCTTGCAAAGACATGGACCTTTTTCTGTTCTTATGTATAGCATGGATGATTTGACTAATCATCACATGTACTGTGATACAAATCAGCCCATTGGCTCGATCTCTGAAGAGCCATCCTGTTTTACTGATCCATAGTCAAGCCAATGGTCTTGCACATGCCACCACTCTAACTCGTATGCCTTGCTCATTTTTTCCCCATCCCACAAGCGCAGGAGTTTGAGGAGCAATCAACTCAGCAACTCTATTCCTGCTGCCATTAGCTCGCTAACAGCATTGACAACTTTGTACGAACCTATTTCTTGCCCACCTGTTTCTGCATTTCATGGTCGACACACATATTCTTCACTTCCTCCTCAAGTTTGCCCCACTATCTCTCCATTCCATTTCACCCGCCACTTGATTTCTCCTGCTTCCTGACCTGACCATACTCATATCATATCCACTTTCACTTCACATTTCATTCTAGTGGGAGGCAAGGAAACATCCCTCCCTCCTCAGGTCCCTTCACCTGTATAGCGATTGTCTGCACACATTTCAAAGACATACTTACTTATCATCCCACAATTCCTGATAAAAATTAGGTCAGCCATCTGGGAAAAAGAAGAAGAAAAAATAGTGTAACTCATCCCTGGTCACTGTGTTCCACACTCCGCCACTCTAACTCTCATTCCTTGCTCGATTCCCCACCCGGTCACAAGGACAGGCGTCTGGATAGCAATCAGCTCAACGGCTCCATTCCTGATGGCCTTAGCGCCTTAACAGCTCTGAAAAGTTTGTACGGTCCTGTCTTTTGTCCTGCTGCGCCTGCATTTGATGATTTAGTTAGGGAAGTGTTATATACTCCACCAAAAGAGTTGTGTGTGTGCTCGTGCACAGTGAGTGAGTTTCTCTGCCCAGAGCTTCACACTGTTCTCATGTTTTGAATAACCCAAGTTCATCCGTTTTCATGTATTTCCTCTCGTTTACATTCATCCTCCGCTTGATTTCTTTGTTTTATGGCGATCGTCAAGTCAATTCTGCTTCCACAATTCTATAGGTGTGCTAGCATTGCTCCTCTAACATTCCTCTCTCATTCCATGTGTGGATGCCACACCTTGGGTGAGGCGAGGAGCATCTCACTCCCTCCCTCCTCACGTATCCAGCCACCCTATCCAACACTTGCTAATGTCTGCACGTATTGCATGTGTGGATCATGACTCATGTTTCAGCATCCCACAGATTCTCATATAAATTAGTTCACTGACTCTATTCCATGTGATGTCAGCGATTCGGAAAAAAAAATATGGGTGACTGATCACTACGCAATGTCTAGCACATTTCACCCCACCACTCTAAATCTCATGCCCTGCTTGGATTCTCTTCACCCTTTCACAAGCGCAGGTATCTGAACACCAATCAGCTCGACGGCTCCATTCCTACTACCCTCAGCTCGTTAACAGGCCTGACACGACTGTACGGGCATCCTTCTTGTCCTGCTTCGCCGCCGCCGCCGCCGCCGCCGCCGCTGCCGCCGCCGCCGCCGCTGCCGCCGCCGCCGCTGCTGCTGCTGGTGCTGCTGTTGATGGTCATGAGAGACAACATTTACGTTCCAGCAAACAATCGCTGTCTTGTGCCATGAAATTCTGGACACCGGCTTTCATGATTTGGATTTCTTGCTTTCTCATGTAGTTTTTGTTCTTCCTTGATTCCTAGACAGCTTGTTCTTTTACCCTCTTCAGTTCTCTTCTGTTGTATCTCCTCCTTCAAAATCAGTTGTCATAATCCCTTATAAGATTTCGTGGTTTCTTGCGAGCATAAGTCCTTCTTTGTTCCTCTCAGATTTCCCAGTTCCTATTTCTCACCGTCCCACCTCGTCCTTTTTCCGTCTGCAAAAATTTCTCGTGCTCTTCTCTTCCGTACGTGCAGATTTTTGGCTTTCAACAAGTTCAATGAGAGTATTTCTTTCGTTCTGAACCTCACAAGCTTGCAGTCCCTGTAATGCCTTCTCCCTGCTTGTCCTCTCACTTGCGTCACTTGTTTGCTTCCCTAAAACTGGTGAGAATCCACCTTTTGTCCCAAGGTCATGTAGTAATGGACTGAAGAACGCATACACGGATCTTTTTTTGTGATGCAATTCGGATATTTCTTGATTGAACCAATTTTAACTTTTCAGTCTTTCAACTGGTGGTCTCCACAGGACGATAAACAACAACCACTTCAGTGGCTCCGTTCCTTCTTCCAAAAGTGGCTCCTGTTTGCTCAACCTGACTCTGTGAGGCCTCTACTTTTGGTTTCTTCCTCCATGCTTCCTGTGTGGGATTGCCTTGCCTCAAAGAGCTCAAGGAGTGCACGGGTGGGTTGAGGGAGTGGGGAGGGTGTACCAGGGGTGGTCTTGAGGAGTCTCCCCAATAATCCCCCGTCCTGCCCCCCAAGCCACCTTTCCTAACCCCCCGCCCAACTGCCTTCCCTATACGCTCATCGACTTCTTCCAACTTGTTCCAGAAATCCTCGTCTGTTCATTCTACCAGCTACTCATTCTACTCTTTTGTGTCATGCTCCCCTACCTACTTCCTCATCCTGTTCTTTACCCTTTGCATCCCTTCGTCTCATTACTACACTACCACAGTCAGCCCTTCTGGCATTGTCTCATTAAGACTCTTTGATGTTTTTTCCTATCGCCTTGTTTCTGTTTTGTTACTGTTTTGCGATTTCAACGCTTCTCCTCTCCTTCCCTGGAGGCCGAGCTGCCTCCTTCAGTTTTTTTTTCTGCCCCAGTTCCTCTTCTAGACCCTCTCTGGTATACATGAGCAATTCACATGGTAAAAAATCCACTCGTTCTTTCACAACCGTAAAGAACACTTTTTTTTCGAGTTAAGTACAACATGGCTCGGGTCACGTCACACAACCCGCCCCTCAAGCTCGCAATACCTGGATGGCTGAACGGGATGAGAGGTCGATACAAGCATAGCATCTTGTCTAAACTAGGCAAGAGCGTCCAACGGCCTAGCCAAACTGAACAGTGGATTTTTTTTTCCCTCCTCCTCCTCCTCCTCCTCCTCCTCCTCCTCCTCCTCCTCCTCCTCCTCCTCCTCCTCCTCCTCCTCCTCCTCCTCCTCCTCCTCCTCCTCCCCCTCCTCACATCCGTCTTCTTTCTCTATCTCATTTCCTGCGTCTGACTTCGTCAATCTCCTACTTGCCTTCAGCCATATTCCCTGTTTGCGTGCGTTTTCTATCCCACCCCACCAACCCCCACCTCCCTTTCCCTTGCTCCTCACGTGCAGTGATGCCTCCAACAACTACCTCTCAGGCCCCATTTCCGGGCTGGGCAAGGCGAACATGGACTTTTCAAACAACTTCTTGACAGGCCCTTTGAAGACTTCAACCACCGCAGACAGCCGTCTGGCTGGCAACTGTTTCGCACAGCCCAAGTGTCCGCGCGCAAAGCCCAACTGTTCGCTCGTGCAGCAGCGGCCCACAGCAGAGTGCACGGCGTTCTGTGGTGGATTTAATGCGTGTGACGGTCGCGGCATCTGCTATCCGGACGGACCCAGCTTGGTGCCCACGTGCTTGTGTCAACCAGGCTACGTGTTCGTTGGAAGGTTCTACTGTTTCGCACAAGGTAGTGCGTCATCCTTGTGGTCTCTGCTGTTCTCCTTGCTACATCACACTTATTACATGTCATGATCCTCCTGCATGTTAGTGTCACGTTATTTTGAAACAATCGTTCCACTGGCACTGCACAGCACGGACTACGTCTCAGTTGTGTACCCATTGCATCTCATCTCATGGTCCCCTCTGCCAACCAGCTTCTGAAGCGTCGTTGAGATTCTGCAACCTGTGCCTTCTGCTGCTCCTTTAAATCCTTTCAGGTTGGGATGTAAACCTCTCCATTAGCAAGCCGATTCTTCCAACGTTCACTCTTCTTACCAAGGGAACGCAGCAGCAGACAGCGGGGCAGTTCATGGCAGAAGCAGTAAAGCTTTTTGCGTTCCCAACGCGTTTGAGCACGGGATGCGGTGTGGAGCTGGCTTTCAGCGTCAACTTCACATTCTGCCTCCTTCCCCTGGGTGGTTCTGCCTCTGGTGGATCCAACGGCTTCGCGTTTGTGATCACGTCTAAGGCCAAGGTGGGGAAAGCAGACGGCGTGGGGTACGATGGAATGGCAGCACAGAGCGTAGCCATCGAGTTTGACACGCTTCAGAATGCCAAGTACAACGACAAGAAGGAGCAGCACGTGGGAATCAACACAAACGGCTCGGAAACTTCCCTGGTTGCGGTCGAGTCGGGATTCACGTTGACCAGCGGCGATTACTACACGGCGTGGGTGGACTATGACCCGTGGAACCGGGGGTCCATGAAGGTGTATCTGGCTGACTCCAAGGTGAAGCCGGATGAGCCGCTGCTGGAGAGGGAGGTGTCGCTGTGCGCCGTGCTGCAGCCCAGCGGCGTGCAGGCGGCGTTCTTCTTTGGCTTCGTGGCGTCCACCACTGTCAAGCCGTTCCTCATGGACGTCATTCGCTCCTCCTCCGTGCACACAGGCAAGCGACTGTGTGCACTGGTTGAGTGGGGTGACTGACACTGATGCCAACGACTGTGGTGTGATGATGAATATGAGAGGAACGTGTGGTGGTGATAATTGCATGGCACTGGTTGATGGTGGCAATAAGAAGAATGCTTCATGAAGCTGCTGCTCATCTGCAACCCCTCATATGCTGCCATGGCTGACACGGTTTTGGGAACTGGTGCTAGTTTCGCTTGCCACAGATGATTTAAGCTGGTGCATTCGAGTCACATTGCATTAGCGATTTGGAGTGGCATTGCATTAGCCAACCAATCTTGCGGTTCTCTTGTTTGGCTGAAGTCTCACCGATCATGTTGAGACTGCTGTGGTTGTGTATTTCCTTGTGTGTCCCCTCCCCTTACAGAAATACCCACTCCACCCGAGCCGGAGCAAAGTCAATGTAAGATCTCTGCCATGTGCCATCTCTGCCATGTGGCATCTCTGCCATGTGCCATCTCTGCCATGTGCCATCTCTGCCATGTGCCATCTCTGCCATGTGCCATCTCTGCCATGTGGCATCTCTGCCATGTGGCATCTCTGCCATGTGGCATCTCTGCCATGTGGCATCTCTGCCATGTGCCATCTCTGCCATGTGCCATCTCTGCCATGTGGCATCTCTGCCATGTGCCATCTCTGCCATGTGCCATCTCTGCCATGTGCCATCTCTGCCATGTGCCATCTCTGCCATGTGGCATCTCTGCCATGTGCCATCTCTGCCATGTGCCATCTCTGCCATGTGCCATCTCTGCCATGTGCCATCTCTGCCATGTGCCATCTCTGCCATGTGCCATCTCTGCCATGTGGCATCTCTGCCATGTGCCATCTCTGCCATGTGCCATCTCTGCCATGTGCCATCTCTGCCATGTGGCATCTCTGCCATGTGCCATCTCTGCCATGTGCCATCTCTGCCATGTGCCATCTCTGCCATGTGCCATCTCTGCCATGTGCCATCTCTGCCATGTGGCATCTCTGCCATGTGCCATCTCTGCCATGTGGCATCTCTGCCATGTGCCATCTCTGCCATGTGCCATCTCTGCCATGTGCCATCTCTGCCATGTGCCATCTCTGCCATGTGGCATCTCTGCCATGTGGCATCTCTGCCATGTGCCATCTCTGCCATGTGCCATCTCTGCCATGTGGCATCTCTGCCATGTGCCATCTCTGCCATGTGCCATCTCTGCCATGTGCCATCTCTGCCATGTGGCATCTCTGCCATGTGCCATCTCTGCCATGTGCCATCTCTGCCATGTGCCATCTCTGCCATGTGCCATCTCTGCCATGTGCCATCTCTGCCATGTGGCATCTCTGCCATGTGCCATCTCTGCCATGTGCCATCTCTGCCATGTGCCATCTCTGCCATGTGCCATCTCTGCCATGTGGCATCTCTGCCATGTGCCATCTCTGCCATGTGCCATCTCTGCCATGTGCCATCTCTGCCATGTGGCATCTCTGCCATGTGCCATCTCTGCCATGTGCCATCTCTGCCATGTGCCATCTCTGCCATGTGCCATCTCTGCCATGTGCCATCTCTGCCATGTGGCATCTCTGCCATGTGCCATCTCTGCCATGTGGCATCTCTGCCATGTGCCATCTCTGCCATGTGGCATCTCTGCCATGTGCCATCTCTGCCATGTGCCATCTCTGCCATGTGGCATCTCTGCCATGTGGCATCTCTGCCATGTGCCATCTCTGCCATGTGCCATCTCTGCCATGTGGCATCTCTGCCATGTGCCATCTCTGCCATGTGCCATCTCTGCCATGTGCCATCTCTGCCATGTGGCATCTCTGCCATGTGCCATCTCTGCCATGTGCCATCTCTGCCATGTGCCATCTCTGCCATGTGCCATCTCTGCCATGTGCCATCTCTGCCATGTGGCATCTCTGCCATGTGCCATCTCTGCCATGTGCCATCTCTGCCATGTGCCATCTCTGCCATGTGCCATCTCTGCCATGTGGCATCTCTGCCATGTGCCATCTCTGCCATGTGCCATCTCTGCCATGTGCCATCTCTGCCATGTGCCATCTCTGCCATGTGCCATCTCTGCCATGTGCCATCTCTGCCATGTGCCATCTCTGCCATGTGCCATCTCTGCCATGTGCCATCTCTGCCATGTGGCATCTCTGCCATGTGCCATCTCTGCCATGTGGCATCTCTGCCATGTGCCATCTCTGCCATGTGGCATCTCTGCCATGTGGCATCTCTGCCATGTGCCATCTCTGCCATGTGCCATCTCTGCCATGTGCCATCTCTGCCATGTGGCATCTCTGCCATGTGCCATCTCTGCCATGTGCCATCTCTGCCATGTGCCATCTCTGCCATGTGCCATCTCTGCCATGTGGCATCTCTGCCATGTGGCATCTCTGCCATGTGGCATCTCTGCCATGTGGCATCTCTGCCATGTGCCATCTCTGCCATGTGCCATCTCTGCCATGTGCCATCTCTGCCATGTGCCATCTCTGCCATGTGGCATCTCTGCCATGTGGCATCTCTGCCATGTGCCATCTCTGCCATGTGCCATCTCTGCCATGTGGCATCTCTGCCATGTGCCATCTCTGCCATGTGCCATCTCTGCCATGTGCCATCTCTGCCATGTGCCATCTCTGCCATGTGCCATCTCTGCCATGTGCCATCTCTGCCATGTGCCATCTCTGCCATGTGCCATCTCTGCCATGTGCCATCTCTGCCATGTGCCATCTCTGCCATGTGCCATCTCTGCCATGTGCCATCTCTGCCATGTGCCATCTCTGCCATGTGCCATCTCTGCCATGTGCCATCTCTGCCATGTGCCATCTCTGCCATGTGGCATCTCTGCCATGTGGCATCTCTGCCATGTGCCATCTCTGCCATGTGGCATCTCTGCCATGTGCCATCTCTGCCATGTGGCATCTCTGCCATGTGCCATCTCTGCCATGTGGCATCTCTGCCATGTGGCATCTCTGCCATGTGGCATCTCTGCCATGTGGCATCTCTGCCATGTGCCATCTCTGCCATGTGCCATCTCTGCCATGTGGCATCTCTGCCATGTGCCATCTCTGCCATGTGCCATCTCTGCCATGTGCCATCTCTGCCATGTGCCATCTCTGCCATGTGGCATCTCTGCCATGTGGCATCTCTGCCATGTGGCATCTCTGCCATGTGGCATCTCTGCCATGTGGCATCTCTGCCATGTGCCATCTCTGCCATGTGCCATCTCTGCCATGTGCCATCTCTGCCATGTGCCATCTCTGCCATGTGGCATCTCTGCCATGTGGCATCTCTGCCATGTGCCATCTCTGCCATGTGCCATCTCTGCCATGTGGCATCTCTGCCATGTGCCATCTCTGCCATGTGCCATCTCTGCCATGTGCCATCTCTGCCATGTGCCATCTCTGCCATGTGCCATCTCTGCCATGTGCCATCTCTGCCATGTGCCATCTCTGCCATGTGCCATCTCTGCCATGTGCCATCTCTGCCATGTGCCATCTCTGCCATGTGCCATCTCTGCCATGTGCCATCTCTGCCATGTGCCATCTCTGCCATGTGCCATCTCTGCCATGTGCCATCTCTGCCATGTGCCATCTCTGCCATGTGGCATCTCTGCCATGTGGCATCTCTGCCATGTGCCATCTCTGCCATGTGGCATCTCTGCCATGTGCCATCTCTGCCATGTGGCATCTCTGCCATGTGCCATCTCTGCCATGTGGCATCTCTGCCATGTGGCATCTCTGCCATGTGGCATCTCTGCCATGTGGCATCTCTGCCATGTGCCATCTCTGCCATGTGCCATCTCTGCCATGTGGCATCTCTGCCATGTGCCATCTCTGCCATGTGCCATCTCTGCCATGTGCCATCTCTGCCATGTGCCATCTCTGCCATGTGGCATCTCTGCCATGTGCCATCTCTGCCATGTGCCATCTCTGCCATGTGCCATCTCTGCCATGTGCCATCTCTGCCATGTGCCATCTCTGCCATGTGGCATCTCTGCCATGTGCCATCTCTGCCATGTGCCATCTCTGCCATGTGCCATCTCTGCCATGTGCCATCTCTGCCATGTGCCATCTCTGCCATGTGCCATCTCTGCCATGTGCCATCTCTGCCATGTGCCATCTCTGCCATGTGCCATCTCTGCCATGTGGCATCTCTGCCATGTGCCATCTCTGCCATGTGGCATCTCTGCCATGTGCCATCTCTGCCATGTGCCATCTCTGCCATGTGCCATCTCTGCCATGTGGCATCTCTGCCATGTGGCATCTCTGCCATGTGCCATCTCTGCCATGTGCCATCTCTGCCATGTGCCATCTCTGCCATGTGCCATCTCTGCCATGTGCCATCTCTGCCATGTGCCATCTCTGCCATGTGGCATCTCTGCCATGTGGCATCTCTGCCATGTGCCATCTCTGCCATGTGCCATCTCTGCCATGTGCCATCTCTGCCATGTGCCATCTCTGCCATGTGGCATCTCTGCCATGTGCCATCTCTGCCATGTGCCATCTCTGCCATGTGCCATCTCTGCCATGTGCCATCTCTGCCATGTGCCATCTCTGCCATGTGCCATCTCTGCCATGTGCCATCTCTGCCATGTGCCATCTCTGCCATGTGCCATCTCTGCCATGTGCCATCTCTGCCATGTGCCATCTCTGCCATGTGCCATCTCTGCCATGTGCCATCTCTGCCATGTGCCATCTCTGCCATGTGCCATCTCTGCCATGTGCCATCTCTGCCATGTGCCATCTCTGCCATGTGCCATCTCTGCCATGTGCCATCTCTGCCATGTGCCATCTCTGCCATGTGCCATCTCTGCCATGTGCCATCTCTGCCATGTGGCATCTCTGCCATGTGGCATCTCTGCCATGTGCCATCTCTGCCATGTGCCATCTCTGCCATGTGCCATCTCTGCCATGTGCCATCTCTGCCATGTGGCATCTCTGCCATGTGCCATCTCTGCCATGTGCCATCTCTGCCATGTGCCATCTCTGCCATGTGGCATCTCTGCCATGTGCCATCTCTGCCATGTGCCATCTCTGCCATGTGCCATCTCTGCCATGTGCCATCTCTGCCATGTGCCATCTCTGCCATGTGCCATCTCTGCCATGTGGCATCTCTGCCATGTGGCATCTCTGCCATGTGCCATCTCTGCCATGTGCCATCTCTGCCATGTGCCATCTCTGCCATGTGCCATCTCTGCCATGTGGCATCTCTGCCATGTGGCATCTCTGCCATGTGCCATCTCTGCCATGTGCCATCTCTGCCATGTGCCATCTCTGCCATGTGCCATCTCTGCCATGTGCCATCTCTGCCATGTGCCATCTCTGCCATGTGCCATCTCTGCCATGTGCCATCTCTGCCATGTGCCATCTCTGCCATGTGCCATCTCTGCCATGTGCCATCTCTGCCATGTGCCATCTCTGCCATGTGCCATC